GAAGAGGACAACAAACGAGGGGCTGTGACAAACTGTTTCGTCGGAGTTTCACCGACTCATCAGGAGGCTGAACCCTCAATAGTCTGCAGAATCCCCTCACTGATTACACTGTAAATGATAATCTACCTTAACCAAAATCAAAGTAGACGATATATATATTATAACCTTTCTCCACTCTCTCTTCCATCGCCAAGGAATGAAAAGTGAAAGAACTTTGATCTCACTTGGTGGAGAAAAGGGCAAGGGGAGGGCAGCCAGTCCCTTGTGCCACCAAGAGGAAAAGCCTTGAGAGTGTGAGAGTTAGCTGAGAAAGAGAAAAGAGAGGTCAGTGGACTCGACCAACACCCCGAATGCATCAGGAAGAGCAAATTTGAATGAGAAAGGAAGGAGCAAAAGTCGTAAGGAACAGACAAGGATAATAAACTAAAGGAAGGATAGGCATGCGGGAAGGGTTGTGTTGACCCGAGCAGGAGTTGTGTTTCCCTTTGATTGTGCTGAGTATTGTGCAAAGGTTGGACACCCAGCGAGGCTGAAGAGCTAAAGAGAGATCGAACGGGAGAAACGATTGTGAACGAAACCCTTACTATGGATAATTCCGCTTCCTTCTGCCTAGAGTGTGGTCCCCTTTGTCTGAGACATGGGATCTTGAGAAATGAAGATTGTTGAGTAGGAAGAATGCAGGAAAGGGGGATGGACTCCCAAGAATGCGGGGGAGGCCCACGGTTACTTGGGAGCCCCCAGACCGCACGCCATTTAGGCACGCGCCTTGGAGGCCCACGACCAACATTTGGGCCACACGGATCGATTTGAGGCAGCATTTATTTATTTATTTTTGCTGTTCTATTTCTATCTGTTGCAGACGTCGTTTCGGACTTGCAGTGTGTCCGAACAGACTTACGGTCTGTTCAGACAAAGGCCACGTTTTGGGCCTTCTCCATTCGTGGGCAGGCCCTTCCGGGCCAGGTTCGATTTTGTTCGGTAGCGGAGATTCCCTGCTGCATCAGCAGGGAGGGCCTGAACGTCCAGTAAGGACCCAGGCAGGCCGTTTTTAGGCCAGGCCCAGGAGCAGGACTTTTTCCTGCGATCTGGACTGTGGATCAGACCGATGATCTCACGGCCCAGATCGCAGGTCGTGGGCACAGCGCCCAGGTCCAGCACTATTTATAGCTGGGCCAGCTCCTGGGTAGACAGAGTTCGAGTAGCTCACTTCTTGGGCGACACACTGCTGGAATAGCGTGATACAGCACTGCGCTGGAGGTAGTGGAGTAGGTAGGGAGAGAGAGAGAGAGGAGATGGCCATAGCTGAACTTCCCGCCAGCAACCTGCTGGACAGATGTTGCATACTGTAACGTGCAGACCAGAACAAGAACCGACCTCTCAACAAAGTACAAGATAACACAGCGGAAGACTTAGATACGAATGATCCGAACAATCAATTTTGCAATTCAGCCCTGAACATACATCATCATCATCGTTATCTGGTGTGAAGGGGGTCTGGCGCTTCACACAAGAAGACTGCACCAGCCCCAACCATACACAGACGAAGAAGGAGGGGTTAGACGAAAAGAGGAGGGGAAGATGGGAATGTCGTCAACACCAAGTCTCGGTACAGGCCCAAATAGTCCCTCGTCGAAAGGTCTGAATCCCAATGTCCAGTCTGGATCCAATGTCGTCAAGTCTCAAGTCACAACTCTTTGTCTCTCTGTCGTAGTCTGAGAAGTCAGGTGGCCAGAGGGTGAGAAGAGATGGACTTAGAAGAGGAAGAAGAAGAACTCTCTCTCTCTCTGTGTCCAGTACTAACCTGTGAAGTTGGCGCCTTGATGCAGGTACCACGAAGATGGAGCTGGAGCGATGGCGCCACAGGTAAGTACCACTGGCCTCCGCCAGCATCTCTCCCACTCTACGATCTACCACCTACCAGCGCCCAGTGCTGAAGACTACTGCTACGGCTATGGGCGCCCAGCGCCGAAGACTACAGCTAGCGCTAACTCCTGCCTAGCGCTGAAGACTACTGCAGCGCTCCTCCTGAGTGCTGCGGCCGAATCCTGAAGACTACCCGTGCCTACTGAAACTACTCCCCCGTGAAGTGCCTGGGAAGTCCCTATGAACTACCACGGGTGCCTCCTGACTGCAGGCCAGCAGTCCAGGAGGCTGCTCTTGCCAATGCCGATCGGAGGCAGGGGCTGCCGCTGCAGCTCCTGCTCAAGCTCGTGAGGAACAGGCTATTTCTGGCCTGTTCCGCATCCCTGTTTACGTGCCCGAGTCTTAGGGGCGGATGAAACAATGAGGGCCTGAAAATGGCCCTCCGTTTCAGGCTGGAAAACCTCTGGGTCTGAAAGACCCAGAAATAGGCTGAAACGGAGTAGGGCCTGCAGGCCCTCGTTTTTCAGCTTTCAGGCTGAAACGACCGGGGCCTGTAAGCCCTAAGTTTTAGGTTTTTAGGCTGAATGTCCGGGACGGGCCCTGCAGGGCCCATGTGGCTACGCAGTATGCCACAACAGAGGACACGCCGGAGCGTTTGTAGAGGCCAGCAAATACCTGCAGGTGAGACAACGAGGAGGACGACATTTTCTTCTTCTTGTTCTCGCCCTCCATCTCTTCTTCTTCCTCCTCCTTTTTCTTCTTCCTCCTTTCCGGGGGGGGGGGGGGGGGGGGGGGGGGGGGGGAGAGAGAGAGAGAGAGAGAGAGAGAGAGAGAGAGAGAGAGAGAGAGAGAGAGAGAGAGAGAGGTTACAGGCAGCGGTTACATCGGGCTATGAGGCCCAGGATCTGATTCGACATTTTGGTGGCAGACATTGATTGGACATTCGGCAGCGATACTCTTTTTGGACTCCGCTATCGCGATCGTGGTCTTCGCCCTCCTCTCCATCTTCGTCTCGCCCCTCCTCCTTCACCTCATCCGTGGCATCCTCCCATGCAAGGAGGGACCTTTTCTTCGATGTGTGCGGTCCATCCTTCCCTCTCACATGTGTGATGTGTGATGTATGAGTCACGTTAGTATCTGACAGGCCAGGTCATATCTTTGAGTCTTCCGCTGTGCTACATTGTGTTATTTTTGTATATATCTGGATGTACATTGCTTGTTGATGCTTCGCTGATTCTGCATTGTCCATTCGAGTCCTTTTCATCATTGGGTGGAGCCCTCCTTCAATCATGGAGTATATGGAGGGTGTCAGGATCATGGAGTATATGGAGGGTGTCAGGATCACTGCCCCCAGGTCACCCTGTGAGCACTCTGAACACACTTGGCACATGCCACACCGTTCGACTTCAGAAAGTCTTACAGAAGGCATGGGGAAAGACGGCGTTGCACTGAGATGTGTCATGTTGCCAACCCTTGGATCAAGTTCTCAATCGAAACTGAGGTGTACAATTGGTCAATGGGATCTCCGTACGCATGCTCCGTGAAAATTTTACACGTTTATCACGCATAATCTCACAAAAAAATGGAAAATAAATGCTTAATCTCACAAAAAAATGGAAAATAAATGCTTAATCTCACAAAAAAATGGAAAATAAATGCTTAGGGTTTTCTAGACTTTTCCTTGCTCTTCCTTTTAAATTTGCAGAAAGAATGGAGTGAGTTTACTGACCCTGCGTGCAAATTCCTGTTCTCGACAATCCATGGACTCCATCAGCTGGGCAATCTCAATCTTGTAGCTCTGATCCATGGCTGTCTTCTCCATCTCAAGTTGTTCAAGCTGTTCAATAGCCTTTGCTGTTTCAGCCTGGAAAATAAGCAGGCAACTCCTATTGTCATTACCCACAATCACCCACATGAAAATAAATGTGTGAAGACCAACTCGCACAAGACAAATTCCGTCCATGTTGAAACCTCAGGCCCTGAGTAGGGGAATGCAGGTCCCAACTTCAAGTCCAGAGGCAAAAATAGGATGAAATGAAGGTGGTCTCAAAAAACAAGTCAGTGGTTTGGCCGATCAAACAGAGATATTACCACAGTAGAGATGGCTTCTGGACGGACTGTTGTACAGATCAATAAAATAACGGGATGACCATCCACTGCATGGTTCAGAACAGGTAAAGGAAGCAGCACAGAAAAATTTTCCAGGCTTTAGACCAAAGTTTTCCATCCATTGCAACATAAATCGACACCGCTGACAGGGTCCTATGCAGACTAGGACTTCCCAGATGGAATCTGGTGGTATTTTTTTACCAGACACGTCCCCCTGGGTATGCCCTGACAAATGGTCTCAATGCTAAACGACAGTGCTGGAGAATGTGTGATGGAGAGGAAAATCTCTAAGCCTGTGAGGGATCCAAATCTAGAATGCATGTATGACGCAAGAAACAATCACTGTCCTAGACCAAACCCATGGAGAAATTTCAACAAAAGTGCCTGGTAATCTAATCTGAGTAGCGTACTAGAAAAACTTAGACATAGATAGTAAAAAAGTTAAAAAAACATCATTAAAATGTAACAACATGACCCTTGTGTAATCAAATAATGGTTCCAATCTGCTAGACAACATTGGCAAACTCTTAAATGCCACATATCTTGAAACACTGGCACAAAGCAACCTCACACCCAACTGACTGCATCCTTTCCCGGAACACAACACACACTGGCCATGAATGTACACAAGCTATCTTACCAGCTCGCTACAGTCCTGAGCAACCAAAGTCACGTTCAGGGGAAGACTGTGAATCCCAGGCCATCAGTATCCCTTGGTTTCACATTGCACCCGTTGCAGTTAATGGTCGTCAGACCTTTTCCCTACCAACAAACGCAGTTCAGCTTCAGGTTCAGGAAAGATGTTCACTTCCGAATCAGACGCATATGAAGAATGAGTGGAAGGCACAGCTATGCCAAAATGGTCTCCATCAGTGGGCAGTCAGAGGAGCACTCTGAGATGATGAATTTATTTCCCGGGAATAGCATCTACTTCATAAACTGCTTTGTGTGGTAATACGGTTGACCTGTATAGTAATATAGATATCAGGACAATGCTGTGTGCCAATGCTGTGCAGTAATGAAAGACCCAGGAGCCTGCACAAGAGAAATACATGCCTGACACATCAAGGAAAACAACAACAACAGAAGAAGAAAAAAAATCACAACCTGGGATGGCGTGACATCAGAGAGTAATCGGGTTAGGGACACTAGACTCGTGAGACTCTAGTCAATCAGTTTACCTCTGTCATAGTCTAGAACAGAGCAGTGCATTTTAGCGCATAGAAGAAGAATCAGGTCAAAACAAATCGACTTCCTCTTGCCAACCACACATGCCTAGATGAATGCATCAATTCTGAGGGGCTGAACTTGCTACGGAGGTTCCTAATAGCTCCACATACAAGCTGTAATGGACAGTCAAGAGGAAAGCGCAATCGAACACCTGCCTTAGAGGATGCTAGCATTTGCTCAGATTCGCTCAATCTCTCCAAAAGGTTGTCCGTATTAACAATGTGTGTCTTCGTATCCTGCAGGCACAAGAAGGAAGGTCAAAGAACGGCATGGAAAAAAAAGTGGACATTTTGAGCATACTGTTATTATTACTTATTAAACTTTTGTATAGAGCTGATCAACCACCTAAACAAATAAGCATCATTTCTGACACACCACTACGGAAGCTTACTTGCTATGACTCTATGATGGGACAGCGCACGGTTTCAACTCACCTCCAAACTCCCATTCCCGGGTCCTCAGTTTGCCACGTCAACAATCGTTCTTACTGCACTCTAGAAGAAGAAGAAGAAGAATCATGCAATGGCCACACCAAATAAACCCGAAAGCCAGTGCAAAATCGTATCCAAATTTCAAACCCACCAAATGCAATATGAATACTCCAAGGAGTCCAAGTTCAAAATGTGAAACATTGACTGCCATATATGGTGTAGAAAAGGTTGTAGACTTGAAGCATACTCTCAAAGACCATGTAAGGAAATCACCTCACCCACGCTAAATTAGTCAGTATTTATCGGTTTACGCTCTAAAATACTGCCAGCGCCCTCACAAGCCCCTGTCGCCCTATTCTATCAATCTTGTCAGTGTTGGTGCCTTTCTCGGCGTTAGGAGATTCTTCAATAAATCAGAACTTTATCCCTTGATCTCTTTCTGTGTCTGGATGTCAAGCGAGCATGGTACTTGTCTTCCTTCGCCAGCCATACAAACCCCATAGAATAAGAAACAACATCTTTATGGCTTTTGAAACGGTTTTCACCCTTCTGCAGTAGCGGATGTAGATCCCAGGGCTCGACCCCTAGACTTCACTACCTGTGTACAGTACCCCTGTGTGTGTTTGAACCCGTAAAATGTGTTTTAGGAGCCAGTAGTAGTCTGTCGTACACCTGTGTGTCCGTTGGGTCTTGAACCGTAGACCTGTCGCATAGGGGTCAAAGTTTATAGTAGAGGTCGTAGCTGCAGGAGTCCTGAAGGGTCAAGGTCGTAGCTCCTGTAGGAGGAAGTAAGACTAAGCGTGTGTGTGTGGTGGTATTCAGGGTGATCCAGAGTGAGCGTGTGTGAACAGTGGGGTTGGACACAGTGACGAAGGTTGGGATGTTCAGGCGCTGATGCACCATAGCCTGTGGAAGTGAACTTGCATGTGAACTGTGTTCTTGATGTCCATATCTCTAAGCTTTGAGTGGGTGCCCTGCGCCAGTGTGAATCCCCATCTGTTTGCATGTATCTGAAGTGGAAGTGAAAGCGAGTTTGATTGCACTGGTATCGGAGCTGGTTCCCGTTACCCCTTGCGCCGTAGTCATTGCTGATAGGGAAGGAGTCGCGCGCCAGTGAGGCGCCATAGCCGAGGTGCACCATTGGAGAAGGAAGTCCTCCATAGCTGCGCTGCGAAAGAAGGTGCCGTTTACCTGTCCACAAGGCAACGACGGAGAGAGAGAGAGAGAGAGAGAGAGAGAGAGAGAGAGAGAGAGAGAGAGAGAGAGAGAGAGAGAGAGAGAGAGAG